TTGTTCCTAAATCAAGGGTCGTTTTCTTCGCAGGGATGTTCATGGCGAAGTTGGAGGTGAATAAGTAAGCAAGCGTCCTGAAGCTATTTACACAACCAGTCGGCAGGTTGCCGAACCATTGTTGTGCGATTCCTTTGAGAGTCGCTGGGAAACACTTGCACCAAGTGGGATCATCCAACCCTTGAAGGTATATCAGGTTGGTGAATGCCATCAGATGGTCTTCTGGGTTAGTAGTGCCATCATAGGCGCCTACTAGTACATTTTTCACTTTGGCCGGCTGAGCGGCTTCAGTAATTTCCTTGGAGAAGGCCGACGGCTGTTCACCAAGTCTAAGAAACCGTAGCTGCCACTCCATAGGTTGGACGTTTTTTGCTGCAGGTCCACCAAACGGAGTTGGCTGCAAAAAATACTGTTGTTGCGGCACAAATGGTAAGTTTGGTACCGCCAGGTCGCTATGAAAGCCGGACTGACGGGAGGTGCCGCCTGACTGACTCTCATGATACGACTGGGTATACCTCATCGAGGCATTTCGCAGACTGTCTTGAAAGTTCGAAGTAGAGGCCGACTCTGACAATCGGTCACTCTTCTTCTGCTCTAGCAGTAGCCGAGCGTCTGTGAATGTTTTCTTCGACCCGTCCGCCTGAATATGACGAACAGGTTTCCTATTTCCTGTAGGAAAACGGAATTTTGTGAAATCAGAGCAGGTGGCTCCCGCTTCCTAGATTTAGGATGAGGAGTCGCCTCTCGCCCTTGAACTGGCTTCCTCTTCAGTGAAGTGGATGGTTTCTTAGCCGACAGCTCCTTGACTGGAGCAGACGGCTTCTTGTTGATCAACTCTTGAATCTCTCCCTTGAAGTCCCTCATGAAGGTCATGAGTTCGTTCCTTGTGATGGGAGCAGACCCATCAGTCGGCTGTTGCCGAACAGGCGGTGCGCCTGCTGGCTCACTTCCAGTTTGAAGATGTTCCTGTTCCCTCCTTTCGGTATGACGGGTACGTCGGGCCCTTAGGGTCCCGTCTGAAGCTGTGTGAGCTTCAACTTCAAATTCACTCTCGGTATCATGGTCCGACTGAACTTGAGGGTCGTCTAGGGGACGCCTCTCTTCAGGAGTCGGTACAGACTTGGATGCCATCTCAGAAGTACTCTCCCCACAGACGGCGCCAAATGTTTCGGGGTTTTCTGATGTCCTGCGGGAGAGTTACAATTCCGAGACTGGAACCGGACGCCTGTACCTGCAAAATAATGGAGACTCCTGGTGGTGGGAGCTCCGCCTTCAACGGTCAAGTTAGTACTTGATTGAGGAGTAATTAATGCGGAAATTAAAGTGATTGGGTCTCTCTAGGTGAGAGTGTTTAATGTAGGTAATCTGCTTTGTTAGCGAGATCAGCCGGTTATTACTGTGTGTAATTAATATGTTTTTTCCGTTCTTCCCCTTAATGAGGATTAAGGGAGGTATTTATAACCTTGGGAAACGTGCCCATCCTAGGTTTAGGTTAACCTAGGGCCGATTGGGCTTCCTTCAGAAGTTGGGCCTGGGTGGCCGGTTTCTCCATTAGGCATGGAGTATGCCACATGTCATGACATAATAGGTCCAAGGTGGACGAATAAGCGCGTGCCACGTGGCAAGCCCTGACAGTTCCAATTGGGGGACACTTGGCAGGACCTGATTGGCCCACGTGGCGCATTCTGATTGGTGGGAGCAAAATCCCCTAATCACGTATCATTTTACAATCGATATAGTAAACCTATATGAAATCAATACGAAAAACATAATAATATTTATTCACCATTTTTATGCACATTTATAAAATTATGGAAAAACGTATTGTTTACAATCGCCACTAAAACCCAAAAATCGATACGAAAAGCATTTATTATACTAGATTTTATTTTTTGTTTGACAAAGAGAACATAAAATATGTCATAACTTCTTGGATAAACATTTAATATTAAAACTTGAGGTTGCATGTTCGAATCTTGTATAGATCCATATGTAGGGATTTTTTTATTTTTTGGTACAAAATGAGTTCCACATTTTTAGCGATTATAATCGCTACAATAATCACCATGATTGAATGTTGTTTTCCGTATTGATTAGTAAGGACAACCCCAGCGAAAGCGAAAAACACTACTAAAGGCTATGACAACGGCGGATATTGTATCAAATAACCATTCGTTGGGATTTTTTTTTGTAGCAATTACAATCGATACGAAATGTTAAAATAATCGCTACTAAAAGGTATTTTTATTGTAGTATTTAGTGAAGTCAAGTGATCGAAATGGCTAGCTAGAGGCCGCTTTCGATCAATGAGAATAATATAATTAATCTCGTAGCTTATTCTTGACTGAACGCATTGGGTCACCCCCTAATCTTGAAATCAAACCATAAGACGGATTGGGCCAAAAGCCCAAATACGACTATAAATATAGTTTAGATCAATACATTGGTATTTGGGCTTAAAAGCGTCAAATTAAATCTAAGAGTATATTGTCAAAAAGGTCTAATGGATTACTAGACGAAAGAATTAGATCAAGCAAACACAAGCTTGGGCCAATAGGCCGAGTACGCAAGATCAAGACGAGATAAGGCCTTGTGTGCGCTTAGCCATAAAGGCCCAACAACAAGCACAACCAAGGCTAGGCACCCACGGGTCAGGCGCAAGCTCAATCACGTGTACACGCCTAGTCGAGGCTAGGCCAAGCAACAACACCAGCATGTGTGGGTTGGCTTACTGGGCAGCAGGAGCACAAGATATTAGTTCCTGTTGCCTGGGAGCTCAAGGCTTAGCTTAGAGCCTTGCCACATTCCTTGGTGCGCAAGGCCCGAAGCCTTGGCACGCAAGGATCTGACCACGTGTGTTTGTCCGATTGTGAGATTGAGAATTAGTCGTCCTATGTGGACGACAATGTAACACCCTCTAATCTCCTTCTACGAAAATACTAGAATACTCCATTCATAATTTATTACTTGCTTCATTTTTCCAGATATTAAGTTTTTAGAGGAATAGTAGAAAGTATTAATTTATGATGGAAGTGGGGGTTGATTATTGAAGAATAAAAAAAAATCTTAAAAATTAATGCTAAAGTGAGTATAAGTGGGGAGGAGAAATAATATGAAAAATATTAAAATATGATATTAGGGGACCACTACTGGTGAAGAAATTAGTAAAATATTGTTAAAAGTTTCCAAAATAAGGAAATGGAACAAGTAATAAAATACGGCCGCAAAAGAAAAGTGGAGCAAGTAATGAAATACGAAGGGAGCGAGCTATATATATATAATACCTTAGAGATAGATTAGGCGTATTGCTGTTACGTGATAACGTAAGACTACTTTAGAAACCATTCTTAAACCTTGCAGTAGAAAACTTCTAACTTTGTTATTGTTCAAAACCAAACCATTGTAGGTACTCAACATTATAATGAGACTTCAAAAGAAACCTAAATTAGGTAAAACAATCCCGTGATCCCCAATGCGCATTTAGACTCCCCTTGAAAATCACAACTACTTACCAAATATGGTAAATAGGGCGAACCAAAACAAAATATATAGAAAGTACGAGTTAGCAAGAGCATGCAAGATAAGTAAATTCAATTTATTTAACTAATTAAAAATGCTTTCGAAGACTCAAGTCATGAAATTTATGACAACATTAATTCTTTCAAGTAAATAGTTCTAATAATTCTTTTCCAATTATACGCTAGATTATAGCTTTTTTAGCACATTTTTAACAGCGGTTTTTCCATGACTGCTATTATTTAGTGGAAAATTGTTGTACTCCATCTAGGATTCTAAGTCATGTTTAACTCTTATAAGATAGGGTTTTAGATTTTTTTTTATCTTATTTTATCTCATGTCCTAACACTTTTAGAATCCTTATCCGTGTGATCAAACTCTTATAAGATAGAATTTTAGAATAATGCTACTCCTATTCTAATTGCTATATCTTAAGAGTCCTCTTTCTAATTTTTTATTTTTATTTTTTTTTATTTTTTTACCAATAGTCCCACTCTAGCTCATCTTTTTAGTTATTTTTTTGTCAAATTTATTATTTTATCCTCCTCATTTTCTATCCAATCTAATTCCATCCTCCTCATTTTCTATCCAATCTAATTCCATCCTCCTCATTTTCTATCCAATCTAATTCCATCCTCCCCATTTTCTATCAATTTCTTTTTATCCACTTCATAATCAATCTTTTCTAATTCTATCATACATCCTCATTTCCTTTATCCTCCTCATTATCTATCCATTCTAATTCCATCCATTTTTTAATTTTTTAATTTTATCCATTTTAACTATATCCTCTTTATTTTTTTTCTTCTCATTTCACATCCACTCTAGTTCTATCTTCCTCATTTTCAATATATCTTAATTTTATCCATCTTGTTTTGGTCAAACCATGAGTCGAAGTCAAACCTTCAAGTAGGTCCTTGTAAAGTCCTAGGTCTAACGAGTCAGGCTCATTTATTTATAAGCGTCTTCTTGTTAAAATTCAAGTCCATGTCCATTCTCACGTTAATCCACCTTTTGAGTATGTATCATTTGGTCTTTATGTGTGTCCGTTCATACTTCTTTTCTAAAAACAAAACAAAACAAAACAAAATAAAACAAAAAAAAAAAAAAAATATTCCATACTTTCCCTTTCCTTCTTTGAGTCGAGTATTGAGTCACATTGTGAGTAAGTTGATTCCATTTCTACTACACTTGGTTAAGAAAAGCAATGGTATATTAATTTGAAGAGATTATAGACCACCACCACATGAGGCGACCTTGAGCTTTAAGATTTTATGACTTTTTTTTTTCCTTTTGTTTTAACCCCTTTCCTCCCTAATAAGTCTAGTATAGGTCCCCTTTATCCTTTCATTATGTGTCTCTTTTACCCTCCATTATTCCATAATATGAGCATTTATTTTCTTGCATATAATCATTTTATTTCGATAAAAAAGGAAAAAAAATCGTTGAATTAAGCAAAAGGTATACCAATGATTAGAGGTAACTTTTGTAGCCGTAATATTTTCCTTAACCATTTAAATACAAATCCTCTTTTTCATTAGCCACTTTGAGCCTCGTCTAAAACAATTTGATGAAATAGATCAAATTATAAACCTAACTGCAAATGCTACATTCAGAGAATAAGCATCTTATCCATTTTTTTTTTTTTTTTTTTTTTTGACAGGCATTCTGGTAATTCAGCCATGCTTATATAAAATAATAACATCTTAAAGCCCTTTATATAAGCAACATGAATCATAAAATAATCTAACAACAGAGAATCCTAAATTACATAGAAATTAAACATTTAACAGACCATGATCTCTAACAATAACAAACTAATTCTTTCTAGACGTAAAATCTATTCCTTAATGGATTAGCAAAACCGTGTAGTACACCAAACTATTAAGAACCGGACTAACAACTGTCTAGTACACCAAATATCATTTACCACCCTATTTCTTCACTGGGGTGATGATATATAATGCTCCTCCTTCTTGGTCATCCCTTTTATTTCCTCGATTAACTGGTCAAGATTTGAATATGAAGACCCCCCTTCACTTATGCTCTTCTTTGCTAAATGTGAGAGTTTAGACACCGATGTTCCCAGCTCGTCCTTCTTTCTCTCCATAAGATCTTTGATCATGTTCTCCACTATTTTTCTATCACATGTATCCTTCATATCGAGGCCAATCTTCCAGACATCACTGACAAATCTGCTGTCCACCAGATGATCAGAAAAGTAAGGCCAACAAAGCATTGGCACCCCAGCCACTATGCTTTCCAACACTGATCCCCTTCCACTATGGGTGAAGAACCCACCAACAGCACGGTGAGCCAATACTTCTTCCTGGGGAGCCCAGCTCACTATGCATCCTCTCTCCTTGGTTTCTTTCACAAGGTCATCGTGGGCTGGACTATCTGAGCCACTTCCTGTAATGATATCAGACTTTATGACCCATAGGAAGTACTTCTTACTCTGCACTAGTCCTGCCCAAAATTCCATCATCTGGTCCTTTGTGATGGTAGTAATGGTACCAAAACTTGCATAGACAACAGATTTGTCCGGCTTTTGGTCCAACCACGAAATGCAACTTCGATCAACTTCCCACAAGTCGCTAGAGGAGGTGTTGGACAGTGTTGTTTCTTTCCGGTTGAGTCTGTATTTTAAGTGAGCATGTAGTGGGCCTATGGTGTAAACACCTCTACAGTGCTCACGGATGAGAGAGAGTATCGGACCCTCCAGATCCTCAAATGAATTGAGAATAAAGGTGTGGGCTTGCTTGATTCGTTGAATCTCGCTGTTGAATTGGTCTTGATGTTTAAGTAAGACAGATATGTCTTTGTCTCGGCAGAAGCAGGGAAGGTCACGATACCGGAGGAAGCTATCCATCCCAGGTGCATTCTTTACTAGCTGATCCATATCTTCATCTATTATTGTTCATGTAATTCATAGAAAGAGAATTAAAGCCATTAGGAAGTTACCAAAAAATTATAATGAGGATTGGATGTTTCTAATGGTCATCCATCACTATTGTTAAATCTTATCGGTTGATTTTTACTTTTTTTAATATTTGATCAAACATTTTTTAATTTTTTCCTTTTTTATTAAAATCATTCAAACATGTAATAAAATTATGTAGACTGTACAATATTTTTTAATTAATTATGTTTTTTAATCAATATGGTCCAACACTATATATTTTTGGATTCTAATATGTAACTGCAACATTTTACGACTCTAAACTGCTTTAAAAATTAGCATGTAGAGGTTAATTTACCTTTGAAGGGTAATTCCCCTGCTTCAATCAGCTTTGGTAAACATTGAAGAGTCCAAATGAAGTTTGCACCAGGAATCATAAATGTAATCACCGGTAACTTTACCTCATTAGCTACATCATTAACAAAGCCCATCCATCCATCTAATATTATACATGTAACTTCATCTTTTCCTACAAAAATTTCCTTCAGAAGTGGCTTAACACTTCGTGCCAACGCGGCAAACATTTCTCTCAACTTGGTTTTATCACCAGATCGTGGGTGGTCATCTGGAAGCCCATCAGGTACCGTCTTAAAGGTAAACCCTGAATAGCGGCCAAAACGAGCTTCGATGTCAGTGTACTTGGTAAGTCGTTTTTGGTTGTAGGTTGTGTTTAGGAAGGTTACCTTAACATTTGCTAGGCATAAAATTTCTGCTAAGTTTAGCATTGGGGTTAAATGGCCTTGCAATGGGACCGAAAAGATTAAAACATGAGGTGTAGGATATGATTTGTGCTCCATTTTTGGTACTACTTACAATATTTTTGGTCTTGGAATTTAGATTGATATATTTGCTATGTTGGGTGTATAAACATATAGTTGTGGAATATATATATATAGTATATAGTTGGATAGAATTATTGGTTCCTCAAGAGAAACACGCCATCTCAAATTTTAAAAAAACGAATATTGTTTACAGATTTAGTTTAAGAAGAAAATAAAAGGAATAGTTGGTCATCCTCGTGGCCCTCGTTGGGCAGTTAGTTTATATTAGTCTAACCAGTGTTATGTCCGGATTGATACCTTTAGCATGCGCAATGCACCGGTTGTATTAAGTAATCAGGTTTAAATTAGTACATTAATTTAACTAGTTTAAGTCCCGTTCAATACACGATTTTTACTTACCTAATTATAAATTACCGTTAATTAATAATAATTTTTTTAAAAAAATAATATATATCTTTTTAAAAAAAATTAACTCGAATTTCATATAATACTAGATTAAAGTCCGTGCGATGCACATTTAATCAAAAAATATTGCGTAATTTAAAGTTTATTATTAAAATAAATACATAACTTATTAAAATAATAGTGTTTGATACTCCGATCCTTAATTCAATGGTTCATAGGAAGTGGATCGGAGAAGAAAACATACGAAATAGAGGATGGGATAAGATGAGATGAAATAGAGGTGAGAGAGTTTAGCTCCATAGTCAAGTGATCTTTTGGGGGAAAGAAAATAGTAAAATCAGTCTATTTTTGCCACCCCAATTCAAATTCATCACATTAAATAAAAAAACATGATTGGAAAAAAATAAAAATAAATATAACAAACATAATTTGATGAAGTTAGATTTAGATTAGGAGGGAAATTTTTTATAATGAAATGTCACATGGACAATAGTGATGTCAACGTGAAATGTTTAAGTAATAATTTATAGTAGATTCTTTATCTCTACTTTTTTAAAAGTATGACTAAACACTAATGAATAATGTACTGTTGAGACAATTACGCCCCATTGAAATGTATATTTACATATTTACTCTTATATTATATTTGTTACATTTATGAATATGTTGAGACAATTATGCCCCTTAAAATATTATTCAATTTTTATGAATATTGTTGAGACAATTATGCCCATTAATATGTTTATTTACATACGAAAAAATATTTTTTCTTATGTATTTTCCTTTATTAATGCTGGCAACAACTTAAGTTGTGACATAAGACCAATTAAAAAAAGCTCCCCGGGTATGGTTAGTTATGGCTATTTTCTCTTATCAATGCTAGCAACAACTTAAGTTGTGACATGAGACCAACTAAAAAAAGCTCCCCATGTATGGTTAGCTGCCCTACTTAAAAGTAAAAATTTAACTCAAATAAGTGCATGTACCGGCAAAAAAATAATTTTTTTTTTTTTTTTTTTTTTTTTTTGTGATTAGCTGAGATATAAATATTTTTTTAATACTCCCTTCGTCTCATAATATAGTTCCTGTGTGTATTTTTTCACGGTATTTAAGAAATGGAAGAAGAAAGTGAATTAAGTACATTAAAAAAAGGTAAAAACTACAATTATAGACAAAAGTTAGAGAGGAGAAAGTGAATGAATTACACTAAAAAAAAAAGTGAAAAGTACAATTATAGATAAAAGTTAAAGAGAGAAAATGAAAAAAGTACAAAGCAAGTGGAAAATTCATGGGTAATTTAGGAAGTACAATGACTAAAGTTAGAAAAATTAAGGGTATAATGGTTGATTAGGGGATTTTGCTCCCACCAATCGGAATGCGCCACGTGGGCCAATCAGGTCCTGCCAAGTGTCCCCCAGTTGGAACTGTCAGGGCTTGCCACGTGGCATGCGCTTATTCGTCCACCTTGGACCTATTATGTCATGACATGTGGCATACTCCATGCCTAATGGAGAAACCGGCCACCCAGGCCCAACTTCCGAGGGAAGCCCAATCGGCCCTAGGTTAACCTAAACCTAGGATGGGCACGTTTCCCAAGGTTATAAATACCTCCCTTAATCCTCATTAAGGGGGAGAACGAAAAAACATATTAATTACACACAGTAATAACCGGCTGATCTCGCTAACAAAGCAGATTACCTACATTAAACACTCTCACCTAGAGAGACCCAATCACTTTAATTTCCGCATTAATTACTCCTTAATCAAGTACTAACTTGACCGTTGGAGGCGGAGCTCCCACCACCAGGAGTCTCCGTTATTTTGCAGGTACAAGCGTCCGGTTCCAGTCTCGGAATTGTAACTCTCCCGCAGGACATCAGAAAACCCTGAAACATTTGGCGCCGTCTGTGGGGAGAGTACTTCTGAGATGGCATCCAAGTCTGTACCGACTCCTGAAGAGAGGCATCCCCTAGACGACCCTCAAGTTCAGTCGGACCATGATACCGAGAGTGAATTTGAAGTTGAAGCTCACACAGCTTCAGACGGGACCCTAAGGGCCCGACGTACCCGTCATACCGAAAGGAGGGAACGGGAACATCTTCAAACTGGAAGTGAGCCAGCAGGCGCACCGTCTGTTCGGCAACAGCCGACTGATGGGTCTGCTCCCATCACAAGGAACGAACTCATGACCTTCATGAGGGACTTCAAGGGAGAGATTCAAGAGTTGATCAACAAGAAGCCGCCTGCTCCAGTCAAGGAGCAGTCGGCTAAGAAACCCTCCACTTCACTGAAGAGGAAGCCAGTTCAAGGGCGAGAGGCGACTCCTCATCCTAAATCTAGGAAGCGGGAGCCACCTGCCCTTGATTTCACAAAATTCCGTTTTCCTACAGGAAATAGGAAACCTGTTCGTCATATTCAGGCGGACGGGTCGAAGCAAACATTCACAGACGCTCGGCTACTGCTAGAGCAGAAGAAGAGTGACCGATTGTCAGAGTCGGCCTCTACTTCAAACTTTCAGGACAGTCTGCGAAATGCCTCGATGAGGCATACTCAGTCGTATCATGAGAGTCAGTCAGGCGGCACCTCCCGTCAGTCCGGCTTTCATAGCGACCAGGCGGTACCAAACTTACCATTTGTGCCGCAACAACAGTATTTTTTGCAGCCACCTCCGTTTGGTGGACCTGCAGCAAAAAACGTCCAACCTATGGAGTGGCAGCTACGGTTGCTTAGACTTGGTGAACAGCCGTCGGCCTTCTCCAAGGAAATTACTGAAGCCGCTCAGCCGGCCAAAGTGAAAAATGTACTAGTAGGCGCCTATGACGGCACTACTAACCCAGAAGACCATCTGATGGCATTCACCAACCTGATGTACCTTCAAGGGTTGGATGATCCCACCTGGTGCAAGTGTTTCCCAGCGACTCTCAAAGGAATCGCACAACAATGGTTCGGCAACCTGCCGACTGGTTGTGTAAATAGCTTCAGGACGCTTGCTTACCTATTCACCTCCAACTTCGCCATGAACATCCCTGCGAAGAAAACGACCCTTGATTTAGGAACAATTCAGCAGGGCGAGAAGGAGGGGCTTCGTTCTTACATCAGGCGGTTTAACCTGATGAGAATACAGATTCAAGGGTTACCGGATGAGGTAGCCTATACTGACTTTTTCAGAGGTCTCAAAGACGGGTCTACCTTCAAATTTGATTTGGTTCGAAAGAGGGTGGCGACTCTTCAAGAGGCCTTGATTGAAGCAGAAGCCTATATACAGGCGACTGATCTTTGTACGGTAAAACAGTCGGACGGGAAAAGGTTCGACAAAAGAGAAGGACGACAGAAACAGTCGTCAAACAAAGATGAGAAGAGAAAAGAGGTCTGGGCGGCTGATTCCTCTAAAAAGCCGGCCCAGAAAAAGAAAAAAGAATTCAAACCATACTCCTCAAAGTATGCGTTTAACAAGGATAGCCAGTTTATCCTAAAAGAAATCAAGGGACGGATCTCAATTGAGAAGCCGGTCCCCATGAAGGGTTCTGCAAACAACCGGAACCAAGATAAATTCTGTGCTTATCATGATGATGTTGGTCATCACACCAATGACTGCATCAGTCTCATGCGGTATCTGGACCGCCTGGCTGAGCAAGGTGATCTTGACACTTATGTCACGAAATCTACGGGGAACACTTCCTCAAAAAAGCAGTCGGCCAAAAAGAATCAACAAGCTGACAGCTCCGATACAGATGATGTAGTCGTCTACACCATTGCAGGCGGCTTCTCAGGAGGCGGCCCCACTATTAGGGGCAACAAAGACAATATCAGGCGGTTAGATGTAAATTCCGTTCACCAAGAACGGCCGTCCAAATATTCATTTCCTGAGATTGTCATCACTGAAGAAGATCTAGGAGGGGTAAGAGGGCCGCATGACGACCCTATCGTTGTTGAATGTAAAGTGGCCAACCAGAGAGTTGGCCGAATCCTCATAGATACCGGAAGCTCCTCAGATCTCATCAGTAGCAAATGTCTGTCGAAACTAAAATATCAGACTGATTGCATACATCCGGCCTCCCACCCTTTAGTAGGGTTTGGAGGAGGAGTCGTCCACCCACTGGGACGAGTGGATTTACCCAACCGCCTGGGCGAAAAAGGGGAAGGACGACACATGGTAGTCCGGTTCCTGGTAGTAGAAGAACTCTCGGCCTACAACATAATTCTGGGTCGACCAACCCTGAATAATTCCAAGGCTGTTATAATCCCATCTCTTGTGTTGCTCAAGTTTGAGAGGGATAATGGAACAGTCGGCTCCCTAAGGGGAGATCAAAGGATGGCCCGAGAGTGCTATCTCTCGGATGTCAAGCCCACTGTTATGGCCACTGGGTCAAGCGGTGAAAAAACAGACCTTGACAATGTCAAGGACAGTGCGTCTGTTCAAGAAGCAGGCGGCAAGAAGAGAAAGGCATCCCAGACAGGGGCCGCAAGAAAAGAAAGAAAATAGCAATCATTGGCAGAGGAGCGGTCGGATGAGTTCCGCCCTCAGCCGGCAGGTGAGCATACAGACCTGATCTTAGACGACTCACGTCCTGATCGAACAGTCAAAGTTGGGACGACTGCTCTGAGAGACCTTGGTGACGACTTTCACAAACTATTGAAAGAATACAAGGACATCTTTGCATTCGAAGTCCATGAAATGCCAGGCATTAGTCCTGATCTGGCGGTACATAAACTGGCCGTGGATCCGAAAAAGAA